AGAGTTTTCCCTAATGACACATTTATTTAGAGTAATAAGGAAGTGTTTTCTTTTTACATTGTACGTCAAATGACTGTGAATGTTGGACCTAAATTTCTAACAGCACGTTCTAAGTAAGATAAGCTCTATAGTACCAACCACCTCAATATCAACTGTGGGAATAAATGAGTGCGTGTGTATTATACGAAGGGAAGTTGTAGTGAAGAGAGATTGAGTACAAGTACTTGCAACAACTAGTAGCCATAGATGTAATGTGTATTTCTGTGACTCATCCAGCCTGTGGAGTGGGACTGGATGAGTATCATGATTTTGAATGTGCATGTTCTCATTTACACCACCTGCATGCATACCTTGCCAGATCTTCCTGGCTTGATCAGAGGACTAAGAAAAGGGTGCCTTTTACTCTTTGTTCTGCTTCTCATTCAGTGACAGAGAAGGCTGAAATCATTCTAACGCCTCATTAAGGTTTTTTTAAAAAGGTATAGTACAGGAGTGAGAGAATCTCAGCTCCTGGTATTCTGGTTACGTAGAAATCTGAAAAAGTCATGCTGGTGTCTAAAGTATAAATTAAAATTGTGATTACAGTGCTGTAGTTGATCCTTCTTCAAGGTCCTATTTTTCAGATTAAAATCTTCCTCTACCCCAAAGTATTGGGGCACAGGGGGAGATGAAACTTAACGGAACCTTAAAAAAAAAAGCTAGCTGAAATTTCATTACATGTATACATGTGACATTCAGTTAAGCTGTCTCGTCACTTCTTTTCACACTGCACATTTAAGAACAAAGTCAATAATGCTGACTTCATTGAGTCATTACTGCCATATATAAGTATGAACTGGCATTTCAGTGAAGCAAACCACAAACAGCAGAGTTAAACTAAGAGACACTGTTCTCTCTGGTTGACAGATAGTTTTGAATGTCTTTAGACCTGAATTCAACATTGTTTACACCATCCCTCTGATGTAACTGCACATTAATGGAGGGCTTCTTCCAATAGTGAGCAGCGTTGTTGGGCACTCACAGAATGGAACTATGGAGGAGACTTGATGTAGGACAGGGTGTGGCTAAAGAAGCCTTGGGGTACAATATTTGGATGTTTGGGTGGAGCCACTCCTTGACACACAAAGTGGTTTTCAGCATTTTCAAGTTGATCTGGGGTAAACCTTTCTAGAATTGTAATTAGTACTCTTAAAAGCAGTAATCATACTTTTTCAGTGAATTTTTTTTTATTGGCATCATTGCTATTCATAGGCATCATTGAAAGTTATTTTGTTTCGGCATGCTTTTTGTTATGAATCCATAAGCATAGCATATCTTGATTTTTTAAAAATACATTGAATGTAGTTATATCCAATCTCGTCTATATTATGCACCTAGTATTTCACATAAACCTTGAGATTTGTTAAGTAAAATAGCAATGAAATACTGCCCTCTGCTGTTCATTTTTGTCAACAAATTAGTTTTTCTTTTTGAAGATAATGGTTTTGCTTCTGACATGTCAAATGACAATGGAACAATAAGACAGCGCCTGATAAACTTGCAGTCATTAATTTCTAAATATTATGGTCTGCTTCACAAGTCACTTTAAATGAGAGTTAAACTAAACTATGGTTTAAAGCTGCAAACTGCTGTAGCAATTTTGCTCCTCTGCTGGGAATGTGGCTTGTTTGGGGAAAACAAGCCACAAACCTTGGTTCAAACATAACACTAAGCCAAACCATGGCTCAGCTCCTAGCAGCATGGTGATAGCAGGAGCAGAGGAGAAGTGAAATGCCTGTCCTTTCAGCAGCATGCACCCACATGCTGTGTGCTAACCTTTAAACCACAGTCAAAACAAAAAAAATTCCTTCCAGTAGCACCTTAAAGACCAACTAAGTTAGTTCTAAGTTAGAACTAACTTAGTTGGTCTTTAAGGTGCTACTGGAAGGAATTTTTTTTTGTTTTGACTATGGCAGACCAACACGGCTACCCATCTGTAACTTTAAACCACAGTTTAAAATGGTGTATTAGTAGCAAGAGGAATGTGTATCTCAACAGCTAATGCTTTCTGGGACCAATTTGTTTATGTTTTAACTTATATTCTGCTTAAATTCATAGAAATTATATCCTACACTTCCTCCCAAAGGAGTTTAGGGTGGCAAACAACAAGCAATAAAAACACATTGAAAACAATTTGAACACAGATGCAGACTGGGAAAGAACTCAACCTAAAAGGCTTGTAGGAAGAGGAAGGTCTTTAATAGGCACCAATAAGACAACAGAGATGGGGGGGGGCAGTCTGTTTAATATTTAAAGAGAATGAATTCAGAAGGGTAGGTACCACAGCACTAAAAGCCTAATACCTAAATTGTGCAGAACAGAGCTCATAATAAAATAGTATTTGCAGGCGGCCTTCTTCACCTGCAGAGTGCAGGGGTCAACTGGATATGTAAGGGGTGAGATGATATTTCGGTATCCTGATTCCAATTTGTATAGGGTTTTATACACTAAAACCAGCACATTAAACTTAGTCTGGTGGCTAATATTCCACCATGTAGTCTTCAAGGTGGCTTATGATACGGAATAAAACAACAAAAAATAAATCCAATTAAAAGAACAGCATCAACTAAAATGCATTCCTAATAATAAGATATTCCAATCCAAATTCTCAAAATGTCTGGCAGGGTAGATCTTGTCTTTACTGAAGTATTAAAAAATTGGTAACAAATTGTAGCTGCACGGTTCTTCAGGTAGAGGTTTTTGGTTTGTTTGTTTTTTTGGTCTTCAAAGCATTCACCAGAAAGTCTCAAAGTAAAGTTAGGGTGCAACTGGATAATAGATTTCTCACAGAAACATCCTAAATGTGGACACTTTTCTTTTGACAAGCAAACATTCTCAGGCCGCTTACTGCAGCTTCATCTCATTGCAATTTTAAGTAAAGCTAAATGCATACAGTGTATCATAGGAGTCTAGTGGATGGTTTGAAGGTTGCTAGTGATAGTTTGTGATTAAGCAGGTCCAATTACAGCAGTAGTAGTAGACCTGGATTTCTCCTCCTGTAAAAAGCCTGGAAACAGAGGCCCAATACTGTACTTGGCCAAATCTAGTACAATTATATGTAGTCAAGGTTCTTAGGTAACTGGAAATCGTTCAGATTTGAATTGCTTGGCCTGTTGATATGGAAGGTACTGCGTTGCAGATAATGACTATAAAATGTTAGTGCTCTCTGAAAGTATGCATACATCTCTTGAGGAATTATTCTGGGGGTGGCTGGAGATGGAAGCCATCTGTATGGAAGGGCAAGTTGCCATTGATTATTGCTTTATTATGGTTTGATCATGGTCAGGAAATGTGCTTAATGTAATGCAAATCAGATCAGATGTGATTTAGTTGTTAGAGGGTATGGAGCATTTTTAATAGAGGGGTACTTTTAAAAGATTGCTTTACAGCAAAAGCAGAGAGACAGATTTGTTTTTTCTTTCTTTTGCTATATAATTAACATGTCAGAAAATACTCCTGCTTCTTAATCCAGCAGATGCCCAGGAAGGAGATTCAGGACAGACAAAACTATGGTTCTTCACATAATTCATTTATTTAACATTGTGGCACTTTGCCTGTGGAATTCGCTCCCTCTAGTGATACACCAGATAACTTCATTTTGGGAGTTTTTGTTGACAACTTGGTACATACCTATTTACCTAGGCATTTGTGCTGTCTTGAGATCAAGTGTTGGGCTTATTTCTGCTGCACAGTGTATTTTTCATCCTCATCATTTTATTTGTATGCTGCCTTTCCTAATTAAATCCATGCTCAGGGTGGCTTACAACATAAAAAGATTTATATAATTACAAACAAAGCAAAAGTAAAACACATCAAAAAGTGCACAACCAAACTGAACAATTTCAACATAAATCATAATACCTAAAAATAAAGATACAAAATTAACAGCAATAATAGCAAACAAACAAATCCCTAAACAGTACCTCAGCAGCCTCCTGGAGTCAGTCATTCAGGGCCCCTCCCTCCTAGGCCAGGTGGAAAAAAGGCTTGCAAGGCATGGAGCAGGTCTTCCAGGAATCACAACCAAAATTTATTGTTTGTTTTATAAAATTGATAAACTGCTTGATTGTAAGAAACCTCAATGTGGTTTACAGAAATATAAAACAAGTAAAGCCTCATAACTAATGAAAATAGACTATGGTCTCGGCTGCTGGCTTGACTCAGATACTATTAAAAAAATTAACTCCTTAAATTTTGGAAGTAGAATGTCAGGTTGGGAACATGGTGTGGCTGCCTTTACATTATCAAAATTCTGAAAGCAAAATATTTGTTTTCCAATGTCCACAGTTTATTTAAAATTCTTTTGATGCCCTAGGTTTTTCCAGTATGAAGCTTCCAACCAAATTTTGAAGTGACTTTATTTTACTTCATTATCTCTCTATATAATTATGTTTTGTTAATTTTATGCATAGATACCCTTAAAATAATGGGATCTATTTTTATCATGCATTTTAAAAGACATACAGTCATACCTTGGTTCTCGAATGGAATCCATTCTGGAAGTCCATTTGACTTCTGAAAATGTACAAAAACCAAGGCGTAGCTTCTGATTGGCTGCAGGAGTTTCTTGCACTCAATCAGAAGCCGCGTCAGACATTTGGGTTACAAAAAAGTTTGCAAACCGGAACACTCACTTCTGGGTTTGCGGCGTTCGGGAGCCAAAACTTTCAAGTCACAAGGCGTTTGGCAACCAAGGTACGACTGTATATAATGTCCACAATATAATGTCTTGTACAAAATTGAATATGTTTAAGCTCATTAATTTCAATGCATTTGACTTTTAATAATAGTGCAGTGTATTCCTATATGGGTTTACTTGGAACTAAGTCCCATAGCCTTACTCCCAAATAAGTGTGCCTAGGAGTGGAGGAATAGTGATTATTTCTACTTCTTATGCAATTTAAATAGAATTGTGATAACAGAATGCCTAATTATTTATTGCTTTTAAATGTCTCTTACAGTTGGACAAAGAGAAACTGCAAATGTGATTCTAAAAGAAGAGCCAGCTGAAAATATGGAGACCAAGCCAGCAGAATCACCCGATAAATCTAACATAGATGTGGAACAGAAAGATGCAGAAGATGCTGATCAGCAATTGCCATCAGAAGAAGAAAAAGTGGAAGAGCAGGCAGAACCTGGTGAATCTCCATCAGCAAATGATGTTGGATTTAAAAAAGTTTTTAAGTTCGTTGGATTCAAATTTACCGTCAGAAAGGAAAAGACTGAAAAAGCAGAACCTGTTCAGTTGCTGAATGTGAAAGCAGATGAGACAGAAGTGCTATCAGAGGGAGCTGGAGATTGTAAAGAAATCAGGCTAGATACAGTGGAGGAGGAAACACAAAGTGAGGTGCCCTACCCTGTAGAAAAGACTGAGCAAGAAACTCAGACTGAGCAGACAAAAGAAGAAATTTCTCCTGAAAAGGTAACAGAAGGTCCTGTTGAAGCAGGAAGCAAGGAGACCGAGATTAAAAGTGATGGTAGCAAGTCTCCAGAGTCTCCAACAAGTCCATTAACTAATGAAACAGCATCACCCCTAAGAAAGTTCTTTACCCAGGGTTGGGCTGGGTTTAGGAAAAGGACAAGTTTCAGGAAACCTAAAGAAGAAGAACAGCAAGCCACTGAGAGAGAAATGCAGGAGCAAGAAAAAGGAGTGATAAAAGAGGAAGCCACTCCCACTGAAGAATCAGAAAAAGAAAAACCCATACCAGAAAAAGAGAAGGCAGAAGTGTCTATAGAAGCCAGTGATGCTATAGTAGAAAGAGAAGAAACAAAAATGATAGATGTCTCAACAGAAACACATAAGGAGGAAGCTGTTGCTGCCTTTGAACAGCCATCACCACAAATGTCTGCTGAAAGTGTAGACATAGAGCCCAGTAAAAGCTTGAATAAAATCGACTTGGAGGAGAACTTGGAACCTGCACAAAAATGTCAAATGTCCCTGGAGCATAGCCCTCTTGCATCATCTGAGAAAAAATCTGAGCTAGCAGCTCCTTTGGCAACTGAAGTATTTGAAGGAAAAACAGATCAGTCTGCACCAACTTCTCCAATGCCTATAGAAACGCCTGAGGAGCATTTTGAAATAGTTGAAGCCATATCTGAACCGAAGGCTCCTCTGGCAACGGAAAATTTTGATGACAGACCCACAGAGATATGCACTGATGTTAACACTACTGTGGAGAAGAAAGAACCAAAACCAGCTGAAAAATCAAAACTTGTTCTTGAACAGTTCGTTGAAACTGATGTTGAGATTAAAGGACAAGCCACTGATGAACAGCTAAAAGTCAAAGAAAGCTTGGTTGAACTAGCAAATGAGCCACTCAAGCAAACTGAACCAAGCAGTGGAGATTCAGCAACAATCAAACCTCTAGAAGTCATTACAAATGAAGTTGAATTACTTTCATCTCAAGAAAGAGCCAAGTTACAAGGCAGCCCTCTAAAAAAGCTTTTTACAAGTTCAAGTTTAAAGAAGTTGTCAGCAAAGAAACATAAAGGAAGAAGAGAAGAAGCTAAGCTAGGGGAAGCAGCAGAACAAGCACAGCAGTTGTCTGATTCTGCAGAAAGTCCAGAAGATCCAAGAGCAGAAAGCTCTGCTTCTTCCCCTGAAGAAACAACAGAATCTGTAGGAAAAGTTACAGATGCAGCACAGACCACTGAAACGGAAGATGGTTCTACTTCAGATATGGAGAGGAAAAGAGACATTGTTACACCTTGGGCATCATTTAAAAAAATGGTGACTCCTAAGAAACGGGTCAGGAGGCTTTCTGAAAGTGATAAGGAAGAAGAACTTGAGAAGGCAAAGACTGCTACTCTATCTTCAACTGAAAGTGCACCTTGTGAAGAGCAGGATGATATAAAAGAAAATGTTGAGGAACAGAAATTAGAAAAAAGCATAGATGAGCCCAAGAGAAAGGTTGATACTTCTGTATCATGGGAAGCCTTAATTTGTGTAGGTTCATCTAAGAAAAGAACCAGAAAATCATCAACTTCTGATGAAGAGGTAGGACAAAGACTTGCTCAAGAAGGACAGAAAATAGATGAAAATGGGCCCAATAAAGAAACAGCACCAAGCATGACCATTACTAGCTCACAAGAAAGTGATCAAGGACAAGGAGGTTTTTCACCAGAACAAGCTGGAAGCCCATCTGAAGGTGAGGGAGTTTCAACATGGGAGTCCTTTAAAAGACTAGTAACCCCAAGAAGAAAATCTAAAACAAAAATGGAAGAGAGAAATGAAGAATCTTCCACAGCTCCAAGTTTAGAACATTATACTTCAGATGGAGAGTCTGGAAAGGAAGAATCATGGGTTTCATTTAAAAAACTAATGCCTGGTCGTAGGAAGAAGAAGTCAGATGGAATACCAGAACATGCTCCTGTTCAGGAAGCTGGAGAAGAAATGACTGAAATCCATGAGGACGACTCTGATGTTCCAGCCGTTGTTCCTTTATCAGAGTATGATGCTGCTGAACAAGAGAAGTTTGAAGCTCAAAAGGCAAAACAAGATGATTTAACTAAGAAAACTTCAGACCAGTCAGAAAGTACTTTGATTATTGAGCAGTCCAATGAAGGACTAGTTCATGCAGTTACTGTCACAATGGTAGAAGGAGAGAGAGCAGTTACAAGTATTGAAGAAAGATCACCATCTTGGATATCGGCTGCTGTGACAAAGTCCATTGAACATGCAAAGGAAGATGAAGAGAAACATATTGATCAGATCTCTGAAACTGGAATTGTGGAAGAAATGGTGGTGGTTACTAAAGTCATGCCAGAAATTCAAAAGGAGTTTAGCGGTGACACACTAACCTCAGAAGCAATCACAGCCAGAGAAGAAGCTTCAGGTGTTGAAGAAACAGCTGAAGTATCCTGTGCTGAAGAGACAACGGAAATGGTTTCAGCAGTTTCAAGGCTAACTGAGTCCCCTGATACAACAGAAATAGTAACACCTGTGCAGGAGGTAGAGGAAAGCCAGCAAAACCTAGAAGAACTAAATAAACAAACACAGGAAATTCTGCAAGAAGTTGCTGAAAGAGTTAAATTGTCCAGCGAAGCACAGGAAACAATTCTGCCTGAAAAAATAGAAAAAACAGGGCAAGAAACTGCTATGATATTTCAAGAGGCAGAACCACCCTCAAAGGAAGAACCAGAGAAGACAGATATCCAAGTTAGTGAAAGTAGTCAAAGTCAAGATGAAGCTAAAGAAAGTAGTTTGAAGGAAGCGTTGGAGAAGAGTAATGACATTTGTGTAGAGGTGAAGGAAAGCTCGAAAGAAACTGTTAGCTTGGATAAGACTGATGAGAGTCATGATTCAAAGATTGAGCAAGAAATTGTTCAAGAAATCATTGAAAAACAGACTGCTGAAGAGGAAGGATTTGTCATTATCACAGTAACCCCTGAAGAAGGGCCAGAAGTAAATGTTGGTGACTTGGTAAAGGAAGCCAAAACAAATTTAAAAGATGCAGTTGAAGGTGGGATTACAGATACTGGTCGAGCAGTTGATGAATTGGCAAAAATATCACATGAAGAGAAGCCTCAGTTCTCCCAGAAACTTGAACAAGTGGTGAACACCATACCTGACTTGGAAGCTAAATTAGTAAATGCTGCAGATGAGGTAAAAGCCCCTGTGCAAAAAGAAATAAAAGAAGCTGAGCCTCCCTGTGCTGAAGTTTTTGTGCTTGAGGCACCCATCCAGAGCAAGATAACTGAAGTTCCAGTGCAGAATGCAGTAACTGAAGTCAGTGACCTAGGTATGGCCAAACATGCCACACTTGGCTTACTACCAGGAAGCACAGAGAATGTTGTAGTTGAGGCCTGCATCCAGAACAAAGACACAGAGGTTTCTGTGGTAACTGAGACCCATGTACAGAAGGTGGAACCCAAGGGCCAACTGCAGAAACCAGAAACCAATATTTCTATGGTAAATGAGAAACTTGAACCTCTCCATGCTGAGACTGTAGAAGAAGACTTGCCCACAAGAAAGGTGGAAGTGGAGGTCCACAAGCAGAATGCAGAGACTGAGACCCATAAGCAGAGTGTAGAAACAGATGGCCATGTCAAAGAGGTGGAAATGAAGTTCCTTGAAGAGAGGGTAGAAGCAGAGAAGGCAGAATTAAAGGAGGACTTGGAGCTTCCCACAAAGGCTGAAGCAGTGTCCCCCTCAGAAAAAGAAGTGGAGGAACATATAAAAGACACAGAAGCACAGATCTCTACAGAAAAGGCACATGCAAAGTTGGAGGCAGATGCCTGCACAGAGAAAGTAGATGTGAAGGCAGCTGTGGAAAAGGTGGAAGTTGAGATTTCCAAAACACAGATGGAAGTGCAGACCTCCACGGACAAGGGGGAATCAGAGGCTCCCTCAGAGATTATGAAAGTGGAGGACCCTATAGAAAAGACAAAAGCTGCAGCAGAAGAATCAAATGCACCTGTTTGTGTGGAGGCCATCACAGTGAAGCCAGATGTGAAGGTGCAAGCAGAGGTTCCTACAGAGAAGGCAGAAACAGTGGCCTCATCAGATCAGCCAGATGAAAAGCTGGATATGGAAACTCCTGTAGAGAAGGTGGATATAGAGTCTGCTGTAGAGATTGCCAAGGAAAAGAGTGAAGTGGAGGTTCCTGCAAAGAAGTTGGATGCAGAGGACTCCACAAAGAAGGCAAAAGTGGCATCCCCTGTAGAAAAAGCAGAAGGTGATACTATTCTTAAAGAGAAAACAGAAGCCCCCATAGAGAAGGCAGCCATCAAGGCTGGTGTGGAGGTCTTTGCAGAGAAGGAGGATGCAAAAGTGGAAGTGAAATTTCCTTCTGAGAAGGTGCATAAGGAGGTCTTTTCAGAACAGTCAGAAGAAATTATGGAAGCAGAAACCACTGCCACCAAACAGCAAGAAGTAAAAGAGATCCTGAAGAATGTGGAGAATGAGGTCAGTTTCAACTCTGAGGTTGAAGATACTTCAGATTCCCTAGCAACATCTGTTGAGATAATTTATGATAAAGCCTCTGTAATTAGTGACAAGACTGAAGCTCCTGAGCAGAGGGAAATGCAAGATGGTTCCCTTTCCTCCGAATTAAAATGTTTTGATGCAGTTGTTACTGAGGAGCTTTCAAAGAACGAAGTAAAAGATGACTCTCCCCTAGTAAAAACATCAACAGAGCAAGCTGTAGCTGAGAGATCTGTGGAAAGGGGACTAGTTGAAGTCTCCACACCTGATCAAAATGCAGTGGATGTCATCCAGAAGGATGTAGCAGACGCCAGCCATACCTTGAAATTGGAAGGCACAGAAGGAATTGCGGTTGATGTTCCAGAAAGTAATGAACTGAAGGATGTCACACTTGTAACTGCAACTGAAGGATCTGTGCAGAATGAAAAGGAAGATGCACTTACTTTGGGATCAAAACACACTGAGGCTGAGTTAATAGAGGACAGCACTGTGAAAAGTGAGGCAACTGTGGATTCTGTGAAAAAAGAGGTTGAAAACATAGAGCTAACAACTGAAGAGAAATTCACAGGAACTGTAGCAACTGAAGCAGTAAAGACCAAAGTTGTAGGAGACACCCTCATCTCCGACTCTGGTGCTTTATCAGATGTCATCTCAGAAAAGAAAGGAGAGAGTTCTGTCACAGAAGGCAGTGAAGCAGGTATAAATGGCGTTTGTGTACAGAGTGAAGTGTGCCCTCGTAAATTGCCCCTGGAAACAGTCCTTCCACTTCCACAATCTGCCACAATTTCAGATAGCTCTGAGAGAAGGCAAGCATTGTCGGAGAAGGTGCTAGTAACAGAAACAGAAAAATCAACAGGGAAAATTGAACTTGCTGATGCTGATGCACTTGGTGCAGCTCCAGTGCAGCAAGAAATGTTCACTGAGCAGGAGGTTATCACCACTGACATTCCTGAAGTACAAAGTTATGGAGTTCATAAATCCTCTGTAACAGTAACAGCTGCAACAGCCGAAGAACAAGTTATTGCAGAGAATGTCACAGTTACGGAAACATTAACTGAAAACCTGCAGTCTGTCCTAGAGGAGCCAAAAGAAACCACGTTCAAAACAGTTCAGCAGGTGAGCTTTGCTCAACCAGGACTTGGGGCTCTAGGTCCTGATAAGGATACAGTGTCATGGTCTGGGAAAGCAAATTCAGTGGTAGAGGAGGCAGTTTTAGCAGCAGTAACATGCACCAAAGATGATTTGATCCAGAAGTCTGTATTGGATTCCAGCCCAGAAATGAAGCTTCAGAGATTAGAATCAAGTCAAGAAGGTGAAAAAAAGACACCTCCAGAAAGAAGCCCCTCTTTAACTCATATAGAATTTCAAAAAGATGTGGTTCAATCGGTGACTATAGAGTCACAGAGTACAAAAATTGTGCTGAAAATCATCCAGAATGCTGTTGATACATTGGAGCAAACAGAAGAGTTGCCATCTGTGTCAAAACAACAGAGTGAGCCATTTCTAAAGAGTGTAAATAAATCTGAAATTCAGGAAAGTTTGCAGACTGGTCAGATTCTTCCTGTAAAAGGCAGAGGAGAGAAAAATCTAGAGATCCAGCCATCAACTATAATTTTAACTCAATCTGCAGAGAATCAAGAGGCCTTCAAAGTGGCAGAAGAAATGCCTTTTGCTTCTGATAAATCTGAAGACGCTAAAGTGAAACTGATGTTGCAGCCAGATGAACGATCAGGCACTGTGACAACACTAGCACAAGACCCTCAATCTCTGAATGAAATTGTGAAAGAAATTAAGCAAGAGACAGATTTCCAGAAAGAAAATGGTGAACCAAAGCTGCATTCTGCAGGGGATACAGCCACTCCAACAGAGATTCAGAGATCAGCAGTAGAAGATACTTCTTCAGGAGATCTACCCAAAGAGTCACTTGAAGTGTCCCAACCAAGGCTGACGGATGTAGAAGCTGGGCAGACTGTTCAGATCCAACAGCAGTTTATAGAACAACAAACACCTGTGAAAAACAAAGATGACCACAGCCAATCAACAGGATTTGTGGAGACATACACAGAGAAAGATGTAAATAATCAAGACTACACCATCAGTGAGAGTCCACAGCTAAGCTTAGAGCTCACTGAATCCTGAGGTTTAATGTAAGTATCTACTATTTAAATTCAGAATAATTAACTATTTTCAGTGGCTTTTTAAGCTAGATAACTGAGCTAGATAACTTGCTATCAGAACTACAAATTATGGTCAAATATTTCATTGTCAAATGGCTTAGAACAGGTTTTCAGTTTCTTGTTTGAGAGACTGTACTTAGTATTTAGTATTTTTTAAGAAATATCTCTTAAGCTGTCTTTTGCATTCAATTGAACTTCAGAATTTAACTTTGTTCGAGGTAACAAGTTTCCCTAATATGCAGGCTGTTTATGGGACAAAGCTTGACTCCTCGTGCATATGCTTGCCTTCATATGGCCTGGTTAGCGCCTAATGGCACGATGGGAGCAAAACAACTGGTTTTCTAAATGTGCACCAGCATGCATGCTTGCTTGCTCATACTAACCCATTTTTTTTTGGCCTAGAACTATGTGTGAACTAAGCCTGTGAAGATCCATTATTTTGCCATCACTTTCAAAGGATGTTCTTTAAAGGAACAGTGAAACCTAGAGGAGGAGGCCTTCACACAACTTAAAGCCATATACAGCTGTGGCTGAATAGGAAATGTTTATTTCTGTAATTACAACAGATAGCTTTATGGCATTGTCCTAGTCTGTTGCCCCCCTGAATGATGCCCCAGGTTAACAGGATATATTCAGAGTCCCAAGTTAACTTGGGTTTGTAGAAGCAACTTGACTCTCTTACCCCTTTATTAAGGTGGTCTGAAACTCTTCTTACCATAAGGTTCCTGTGAGGCTTAACTGTACAGTTTAAACCGCTACCCAAACTTTTTTTTAAAAAAAATACACTTTCCCCTCTCCCTAGCATATATCCAGTGACCAGCACCATGTAGTTGCTCCACTCACAATGCTGTTTTAGCTGTCCCCACCTTAAATCTTAAAAGGGACGCGGGTGGCGCTGTGGGTAAAACCTCAGTGCCTAGGACTTGCCGATCGTATGGTCGGCGGTTCGAATCCCCGCGGCGGGGTGAGCTCCCGTCATTCGGTCCCAGCTCCTGCCCACCTAGCAGTTCGAAAGCACTCTTAAGTGCAAGTAGATAAATAGGTACCGCTTTATAGCGGGAAGGTAAAAGGCGTTTCCGTGTGCTGCGCTGGTGCTGGCTCGCCAGAGCAGCTTCGTCACGCTGGCCATGTGACCCGGAAGTGTCTTCGGACGGCGCCGGCTCACGGCCTCTAGAGCGAGATGAGCACGCAACCCTAGAGTCGGACACGACTGGCCCGTACGGGCAGGGGTACCTTTACCTTTACCTTACCTTAAATCTTATCTGCTGTGGCTGGGCATGTATTTGCTGTTGTGTGTGCTTGCCTCTCCTCTGCCATCCCACATATTGCCTTATATGCAGGTGGGAGCTGAGTCAGCATCTTCAGGCTGTTCCTGCAGCCAAACCACGTCCTCTCTGGCACAATAATCAGATCTAGTGAGATAGCAGCCAAGGCTGTTCCTGGCTACCTCCCAATAGGTTTCTTAATGTAAAAAGAGGAGTCAACCGCATATTCCTCAGCTGTGCTTAGAGCATACCTATCACAGGCAAACTATTGGACAAATCAAAACACCGATTAAAGCTAATCACTGCTTGCCTGCTTCTTTTGCTTACCGACTACTGCAGGGAAGATGAACCTGTGGTTGTCCAGATGTTAGTGGAGCTTCAGCCAGCATGGTGAAATACCAAGTAAGGGTTGTAGTCCAACATCTGGATGGTCACAGGTTCCCCACCTTTGCACCACTGCATTCTCCCTTTCTTCTGGCAAAGGAAGGTTAACAATTCAGCCTTATACAGGCTTCCTCAAACTCGGCCCTCCAGATGTTTTTGGCCTACAACTCCCATGATCCCTAGCTAGCAGGACCAGTAGTCAGGGATGATGGGGATTGTAGTCTCAAAACATCTGGAGGGCAGAGGTTGAGGAAGCCCGGCCTTATAGCTGGGTGCTGGAGGCAGGAATAAATTACAGTGGTACCTCGGGTTAAGTACTTAATTCGTTCCGGAGGTCCGTTCTTAACCTGAAACTGTTCTTAATCTGAAGCACCACTTTAGCTAATGGGGCCTCCTGCTGCTGCCGCGCCGCTGGAGCACGATTTCTGTTCTCATCCTGAAGCAACGTTCTTAACACAAGGTACTATTTCTGGGTTAGCGGAGTCTGTAACCTGAAGTGTATGTAACCTGAGGTACCATTGTACGCTGCTTATGTCATGAGATTTTCCTAACTTTTCCAAGCTGAAAAACACATCGTTAGCCCCTTTTTAATGCTACCTTAGGTTGGTGAAAGGTTAGTCTGTCCTGCCTTTAAGGGCTTATGACTGAGTCATCTCCAGCCTGGGCAGTTTCCCACATAGTGCCACTGTTGCCAGCCACTGCATAGCAGCATCATGCTTAACTACTGACTGCTTCCATTGATGTGGCATCTAGTTTTGGTTCATGATGTGCATAGAAAAAATCTATTATAATATGATGGTACTGCCATCTCTCTGGATAAAAGGCTCAGGCTGCAATATTTTGTTGATTTTTCTTTACTTCTGTTTCCACAGTTCTGGAAAAGTTGTGTCTTTATATTTGGAGGGACCAGTTCCTGAAGCAGCAGCAGAAGATAATGGATTCTGTTTAATTGGGTTGGAGGTCACTGATTTGGAACAGAGAACAGATGTCTGATGTCATTCTGAGAAATACACCTGACAATCCTGAGATACCATCAGGAGCTTGAACCGTCGTCTTTTACTATTGATTGTCAACACTTGCTCTTCACAATATTCTTTTATATTTTTTTGCTGATGAGTTGGAGTGGGGGGCAGAAAGTGTTAACTTTTGCTGAAATGACGTCCATACCTTAACCTGGGAAGGAAGTTGGCATCTTTTAAGCTCCCCATTTTATCAGTGCTTCCAAAACTGGATTGTAATTCTTTGTGTATTTATGTGTATATCTTCAAGCAAAATCCAATTTTAATGTATATTTCCTCCTCTTTATATGTGGAAAGAAAAAGAAAGAAAGAGAACGAAAGAAAATGATCTCACTTGTCTCACCCAGTAAAGAAACAATATATGTGACCAATAGGGAAGAATTGTGAGTGAGCTACAGTTGGCCACAGATAGATCAGAATACATTTGCATTGGCTTTCCATGGTGTAGAATGGTGTGAGAACCATGTTTAATGTTGTATTGGGTCTTGATTTGGTACAAGTCATACTCAAAAGGCATAGTTTTGCTTTGGAATAGTTGTGTTACTGGTTTACTAAACAGGACTTTATTTTCCATCACCTTTTATAAGCATGGCACTATGGCATTGTGTGTTGAAAATATGTCAGTTACATTCAAATGGAGAGTTAGGTGTACTTAAAAAGAAAGATTTCAGTGTACTTAAGCCTTCCTAAGTCTGCACTGACTTTCACATTTATCTGAGTACAGTTTAATTCTAAGGGAAAGTGGAAAGTCTTTAGAAGCCAGACAAATAAATAGCCCCATCAATGTTTCTTCAGCCTTCCCTTAGTCCATTTAAGAAACTGTCATACCATCATAACTTTAGGCAAATGCTGGTTTGAAGCTATCAAGAAAAATAAAGATGGTTCAATTTTTAGCGTAACATTTAATGCTCTCCTGTTTTTGGAACATCCATGTCATGAAGTAAGACAATTTATTTTCAAAAGGTTTTTGATGAGTAAAGGATTATGTTTGCTCTATATGTGTGTCCCCTCAGTAGGAAAGTATATTTCATTATGCTTGTGTACATTTAGAAAACTCTGATTTCTGAAAAGTAATTTAAAGAAAAATTTGGCTTATACTGAGCTTTGTGCTCTTAATTAATAATTTTAAAAGCCCCAGAATTTAGGAAACATTGAGCAGGAGTCACTCTTCTGTTTTGTTAATGGAGAATTGCAGAGTTTAGTACTGGTCAGTATAGGTTGTGCATAAAACTGGGCAGGCTTGAAATGCTAAATAATTGAAAGATAATTAAAATATTCAAAGCATCTAGTGTTTGATCTTCTAGACACCAAACATGTCTAGCAGGTCAAGTTATATTGCACTTTGTAGCCTTCGTACCTGTCTCAGCTGTGTCTTGCATGGCTCAGCAGCTTCATTGTCCTACATGTATAGTAATTTATTTGGAAATTATCTAAGTGAGCCAAATAAGACCTTTGGGGAGCTGCACAATGAGTAAAGAAAGAAAAATGTCACTGGTCTAATAGTACCATCTAGTGGTTGCTGTATGCATAATGTAGCTTAGAAATACTTTTAGCTAACAATACTGCCTTTCTTCAAATAGAATATGGAAAGTTGTGAGTTTTTTAAAATTCATCTAACTTACCTGGAACAGCTCTGCTAATAAAATGCAAAATAATAATATGCAATTTTCTCAGTGTATTGGCAAAATTTGCAGTTCTGCGATGAAGTAGCCGATTTATGAAAATTAAAAATGGAACAATGCTTTTTATAAACCCTCTTAAAAGGTATAAAGACAACAGGGTTTCTTTGAACATCAGAAAAGTGAAACACTAATACATCAGTTTGTTTCAAAATATAACTCTGAAATAATTTTAAATAGCTAGGTGGATAAGAAAGGTGAGTGGCCATTATTTAAACATGTACGTTATCTACAGCCGTTCTTTCAGTTTCAATTACTGCCTTCTCTGACGAAGATCCACTGGTGTCACAGTGCAAGAAATAATAACATCATTTTGGTATAATCATTGAACCCTTTTGGATTACAGAGTTGCCAAACTGGCAGCCTGGATAATTGTTTAGCTTTCAAATTAGCTCATGAGTTGGGCCAGGAAGTACTGAATAGTAAATTGCGGTGGGTGGGTTCCCCCATCTCTTTACTGGTAGCTATTGAGCAGTGCTGCCAGAACAGATGACAGCTGCTTGCTAGTGAGCCTCCTCCATCTCTGTCTCTTGATTGCAGCTAGTACACACGGTGTAACAGTGGCAAGGTATTCTCTCCCAACCCACCTCCCTAGGCCCATCAACTGAAGACTCTCCATGTACCTGCTAACTTTTCTCCAAAATGATGGCCTCCCCCCACCCCCAACCACACCACTTTTGTGAGCAGTTTGCTTGTTCAGTTTGGATCAAGTTTGGGATAAATGTGTCTTACATTTGTAAGACAGGGTAGGAGAGAATAATCAAAACCAGTAACCCTTTCACTCCTAGTGGGTGCTAGTCCATGAAGCCTCTTCACTAAGCAAAACAGTAGCTAGTGAATAGCACCGCATCAATCTGTCTCCCTGAAAAGTAGGTGGTGTATGTATGTACACAAGTTAGCACGTGCCTCTCTCTGGACTTAGTGTGATAAGATATGGACTTCTTGATATGAATGAATTTGTAAGAAAGTCTAGTTTATTCAGTGCAAAATGGAAACTTTAAAAAGTATTGAAGGTTAAAGCTCAATGGCCTCCAAGAAGAAGAAGAAAAAAATACAGGTAGGCGCTTGTTTGTGGATCAGTTAGATGTATTCCATGTGTGTGTCTACAATGTGTACAAATGTGTAAAACATTCAGTAACATGGTGTGTTCCAAAATTATTTGGGGGAATCTTTTGTTCTCCCCCACCTTAGTGGCAGCTTCCCCAGTTAGAGTATGAATTAGAAAGTTTGTTCTGATTGCCAAATGCTATTTTGATCACTTTCATTGCGTGCTTTACAACAAGTCTGTCAGAGTCATTGTCCCTGAACTTCATGTGGCCTACCAGTCATGGGTTTAGTTGATGCTTGATGAACCTTTCATAGCAGAAGGGGACCTTGAAATAAGTTTATCTCACACCCGGCAGGCCACAGAACATGGCCTGTGAATTTCACAGCCCTGTTTTACAGTGCTAAGCAAATGGAAAACCTGCTGTGAAATGTAACTTGTGTATGGAAAGCCATATTGCAATAGCTGCAACAAGCTAAATAATAATAATAATAAAACAATGGCATGGCCTATGTTATCCTGGTTCTAATCTTTATAGCTCTGAGGCTGTTAATAAATATGTAAAGTTATCTAAACATTTAAATAAAACCTAGTAATCACAATGTAAATTACCTGGCTAGAAGTTGGGGAACAAGCGCTTAGTTCTTGCTTGGGTTTTTTTTAAAAAAAATACTGATCTAGGGCCTTTCTAAGCAATGCAAAGAACACAAATCACATTACCAATATTTCTGCTTTTAACTGACCCGTCTCCAAAAACCAAAAGCACCAATAGATTTTTTTCCATGGTGCAGGGAGCATGTCTCCATACACAGATACTGCTTTGTTACAGTGTATTGCTTTGGCCTCAGAAATACTCAAGACGAGGCTGCAAACTTTTAGCTTGTGCCACAACTCCAAGCTTTTGCAGTTTCTTCTTAATCCAATGTATTGGATTAACCGATACTTTGATTTTATATGTTGTTTTTAAGGTAGATTTTCATGGACTAAATAAAATACAAACACAATTCATGCTCACTGTGTCCTTTGTCATTCTTATAATTGCTGTTCTTTGTAGTCTCTTTGTCATCACACTGATGGGATTTGTACCTGAGAAGAGCAACTTTGAGAACTTCTAGCCAGGGAACTAGCATTCATCTTTTCCTGAAAGCTGAGGGGCCCATGAAATAACACCATTACTCCATTGATCCCAAGAAATGGTGGAATGCACCAACTGGGTAAGGGAAAATCAGGCTTTGGCTTGTGACAAGGACCACTTGCAGAAGCATTTTCAGGTGCACATAAAGCTATGGGATTCCCTACTGCTTTAAATGCCAAATTGCAGCCTGGGCATCTCAGAAATACCAAAACATTTTGGTTTAAGACTAAATTGTGGTTGTGGGGTTTTAGTATAGCTTGCTTTTTGCAATCCTAAACAGTTACTCTGAAATTCTCAGTGGAACATGCTGTTATGTACATATATTTAGGGTCAGGTCATTATCTGCATTTTTATTACATAGAAAGAATTCATGATATTGTTGCAAATAACCCTTGCTAAATATACACTGGCAGCAAGCGTTGTTAAAGCAATCCACCATATGATCCACACTAATGCAGCTACAGTAAGATTCTGTGCAATTGTTTCATTTATGAAAATTGCTACTAATGGAGCATGTTCAGCAATTCTGAAGACTTGCAGAAGAGCATCTGGTGTTGTCAGGGGCTCAGGGGCAGAGCCACAGGGGAAAGAGGAGTCGGAGAGCGAAGGGGAAGGATCTGAGGGGAGCTTAGGAGGGTATGACAGTGACCCGGGAGATTCCATGAGTCTCTCCAGCGAATCAGAAGATTCCCAGAAAGAGGCGCCCAGGGTCAGGGCAAGGGGGGCCAGCGGTGAGTCCCCAAGCGGCAGCTGGAGATCAGGGCCAGCTTCCCCGCCAGAGCGTAGCGGGGGGGAAGAAGCCCACAGATCAGAACCAGCGTCTTCTCCAGCAGGGAGAGAGAGTGAGTCAGAACTGACCACGCCTCCGTCGGAGGGTGGAGGGGCGGAGCGGAGGTCAGTTCCAGCCAGCCCCCCCCCCGAAGGGGGAAGCAGTGACAGGAGCAGTGTAGCCGTTAGGAGGAAAGTGGCCGGCTGGGCGCGCGCGCCAAGTTCAAATGTGCAGGCGCGCGGGTCAGCAGAAAATCCAGATTGGGAGCCAGGTCCCAAAGCCCGCCGGAGACAGGGGGAGGAGTCGGAGGAATCCGCCTCCGAAGAGTCCAGGAAGGGTGGGACCCCAGGGGGCAGGAGGACCCAGAGGAGAAAAGAGCAGAGGAAGCAGAGGAAGAGGTGGAGCAAAGCTCGGGTGTTAAACTGGTGTAGGGGAGGGGAAGAGTCAGACGGAGCTTCGACGGTCTAGAGTTACAGACGTAGGGCTGCGCGCCACGGATGTAAAACCAACAATGATCTTCAATAAAGACTTTTGTATATAAAGAGACGCTGGCGTTGGTCCTTTGTGAGCTGGGACCTGAGGCACCCCTGACAGGTGTGTTTGCGCTAATTGTGCAATGGTGTAGCAGTTGTAACCCATCCACATTTCTGGACAGTGCAGCAGCTTAGGTTCTTAGAATGTGAACATCTAGAAATGGAAACATTTCTGTTTTGCATTAGCATTGTCTTTATAATATCTGTCCCAATAACAATTGCACTCTATGCAGTTTAGTTCCTCCCCTTTAATCCACTGTCATTCAAATAGCTTGTCATTCCTAAAGGATTTTGGAAAGCCAAGTCCTCACTGCCTACTAGTACAAAGCAAATATTAAATGAGATTAGATTAATGCAGAATAAACGAAGAATTGGATTTGGCATGCCCATGATCCTGGCCTTATGCATGCTGACATCTTTTGCAATAGAAACAGTGTGATGGGGTATCGCATAACAAACCCTGCTATTTCAACTCAATAGACTTGACAAGAGATGCTCGGTACAATCTCTGCAAGCTTTATGAACATGCCAAAAGGGCAATTACTTTACAATTAGAATAATCATATCACTGAACCTAAAGGTAAACGTACACTGACCCAATCCAGCTAAAATGGTGATTTCGGGTTGAATTTAGAGAAAAAAGGAGAATGTGGTCAGTCCCTGATCCCAATCCACCCCCCCAAAAGTGTCTCCTCTTTTCAAAAATCAAAAGTGTCGCCCATTTGATTTTTAGATCTCACCGCCTCCACAAGCTTCACTGTGCCACAAGCCACCCCATTCACCAAGTGCCTTGAACTGCCAACAGGTTTGGGGAGGGAAAAAGGGGAGTTGGGGAAGTCTACAAGTACCTTTCCATGGCTTTTCACTGAATTTAACCCTTAGATAGCAATCATTTGCATATATTTAGGTGTAAGACCCTTTGAAAGCAGTGGGACTTCTTTGAGGGTTTTTTTAAATAGACTTAATAGTCAATCTTTTAGAGTGCATCAAAAGGGGGGGGGGTTCAAATTAGCCTGTGGAAGGCATTCCAGATATATAGCCATCATGGTACCAACTTAACTTCTTTCACCAGTGAACCAGAGCTGATTTAAAAGGTTAGGTGCCTAGAGGTACAGGTGATCTTTTTAAGTAGCCAGGCCCCAAACTCTTTATAGAGCTGTGAAGGTTAATGCCAGCACTTCATAAATTAAATGGAGCCTAGAATTTAATAGGCAGCAAGTAATTTGTGCCACTGACTTCAGTGAGGCTGTGTGGGTCTGAGTAGCCCCTTACGGTGGACAGCCAACCTATACCACTTGAAATTGCAGGTGGCAAACATGTATTTTATTGCGCCACTTTGTAAATTTTCCTATAAAAAGCACAGCAAGGAAGGGGCTGAACTAGCCCCTTATTCCCTGTTGTACCTAAAGGGAGCTTGGTTTAAACATGCCACACATGTCCTTGTAGTCTGAATTGGTATAGCGCACACACAGGCTAGCTTTGACATTTTCTGGAGTGGGGCTCTGTCACGAGGTGAGGCAGTGTGCTTTTTAAATTTCTGGGGTCCAAGCAAACTATAATGGAGTAAAGGGTAGGATCAGTGGGGACACACACTGTGTATAGGTCTTCACATGCAGCTTCCTGGATCAGGAACTTGGTTTAAACATGGCGACTACATTTTTTCCTTTGTGGACTCTGAGCTGCAGTCATGAAATCTGATATCTAAGAACATGCTTACCTCTAGTCCTTCAATTTTTGAAAGAGAAAGCCTTATAGTTCGATTCTATCCCTTCACGTGCTTGATCTGATGCAAGCATAGGCCCACGACAGAACAGTTACATTCTGTGTGTCCCTTCCCAGAGTGGCTGTGCAGTGCAGTAATTTGGGGACATAAGAGGCCCATGATCACGAACTGCGTAGACTTTCCCCTCGCAAACACACACATTTCCCACATCAGTTGTTCCTGCTGCTTTGGCCCCCAAACAGCCTCGTGCTGCACGTTGAGCTCATTTCTAAGATCTGCACAGCATGTACGTATGATCAGCTCACATTCAATCACCTTTGACTTGACAAAAATCAAATTTTATTTTATACCTTTTTTATTCCATAAAATAATGTATAAAAACTTACAAACTGGAAAACATAACTAGACACAAAATAGGATGATACTCAAATAAAACATGTATACAAAAGCAGATTTGTATCTGCCTCTCTCTCCCCCATCAAAACACACACTGCCCCCATTTCTGGTGGAATGCCTCTGTTTCTTGAAACTTTCCCACCAGGACAATTGACCTTTCAATGGACTCCCTCCTCTCAGGTTATTTATACTATTGGAGAATATTATTATATTTATATATTAAAAAGATAAAAATCAGCAACTTGATTTTAAATTTGCATACGGTACTATCCAGAGCAGAAACTTGAATGTACACTGCGTCCCCTTTATTCCTTTTTGCACTTTGACTGGTGCCCAAATTGAAGGAACATAAAGAATATATAGCTTTCCACTCAATGTTGCACTGTTACTTAAAAACCAACCATGATACAGTTTCATCATTATACCATTTGCTATGTTACAAGAGGATGCCAGTAGCTAAATATTATTTAAGACCAGATTTCCTTTCCCTTAATTCCTACATGTTAATCACATAAACTCAGATTGCTGCTTTGATAAAATAAAAAAGCCACAATGTTTTTCCTTTTTCAGTTACACTATAAAGGCTCAAATCTATTATTCCCACATTTAGCACAGGGCTCACTATGTACAATTCTTCTAATCTCTGATTTCCTTCACGTTTTGGGTGATAGCACTGTTCATCATTATCAATTACTAGTCAGCAGGATAAAAAAAATGCATACACCCTGTACCAATTCAAATGTAAATATGCTTTTAAAAAGGACCAATTTGTGAGACGTTACAAGCAGTGGCCAGTTTGGAAAGGGTGCATGCACACATTTTACCTGCATTTACCTGAAGTACACACACACACATACATACATTTTTATGCATATAAAACGATTGCCATCACATTATTTCTGCTATTTTAGCAAAATCTGGTCCTAAACACATTTATCTGGAAGTTTTAAGTCCCACTGCAGTTAGTGGGGTTGACTACCAAGTCACTGCGCTTGGAGTCAAGCCTTAATAATACATTTTTAATGGACATAATGTCAATGAAGTTACCTGGAAACAAACACTTGACAATAATCATGTGGATTAAAATAGTGTTCTTGGTTCATTAAGGGAATTTCCAAGCTTTTGTAAAATGACAACTTTACACAGCTTATAGGTGTGTAACCGTGAGAATTTTGTATCTTCGGTATTCCCTCAAAATGCCATTTGTTGAGAGAAAATATTATAGTTTAATGAACATGTTTAGTTTCCTTTCTGTCTTCTTCTCACATTGCATCTCACTGCATTCAAGTATATATATATAGAAACAGTCTTAGAACTCGCTTAGAGTATGTTACAGATGCATTTTAGCATTATTCACATAGTTAGCTGAGTTACCCTTATACATTTTCTTCTTGGTTAAAATCAATTGTTATAATGTGATACAACACCCTTTATTAATTTTATACTTTTGTT